CCTTAAGGATCTGTGGAAGAAAACCTTTCTCCCCAGCAAGGCACAGCTTTTTTTTTTTTTTGTTTCCCTTCTCAAACCTAGGGAGATGTAGAAACCAGAGCCCTGTACTTACCCTGCTGTAGTCCAAATTGCTGTTTTCTCCCTGAAACAACTGATTAAATAAGAAACCGAGAGAATCCTCTTCACTAGCAGCAATGCCATCAAGTCTTCAGGGGAAAGAGGTTGAGGTCCAGTGTAGGTCTCAGCCTAGCGCACCAAGCACTGCCCTTACTCAATGCCGTTCCTACACCCCATCTAATCCACCGGTTAACACAGGCTTCAAGACTCCACAACCACGTAGGATACGGCCATGGTAGCTCAGATGCTCCCAGCACCACAAAAAATGGCAGCTGATGGGATGAAGCACTCCACAGAAAAGGCAAGCAGGTCTCTGCTCCAAAAAAACCCCCCCTAACTCTGACGCAACCCTTGTAACTGCCAGAAAGTTTTTGACAAAGTGTTGGTTTCACACCATCAAGGCATTACAAGCCAAAAAGAAATGGCTAAAACGGGACTATCCCGTAGGAATGTCGCACTTACCTTGCTGGGGCGTAACACCAGTTTATTTTGCGTCAGGAAGGAGACTAAAATCTGCATTTTAGAAGCGATACAATTCAGTCTCCCACAAAATACAAAGGGCTGCAAAAATGTACACCATGCCTACAATGTAAGGAAGTTATTAAATAACAATCTGATTTAAAAGAATGTAAATGAAGCCTGTAAGTAGGTCTCTTCTACATGCATATTATTCCTTATTAAAGAAAAAGATGTAAAAAGGCTACTGGCGATTGCTTTGTTAACCGCTGCAGAAAATGGCAATTCTCTGGTCACAGACCAGGGAGCAGATTTCCCGTATCTCTTGCACTTTGCTAGCCAAAAGGCTGAGAACCTTTTTTTCTCTCCACACAGTGATCACGGGTCTTCAAGCCCAAAACCCTTACCCTGTCGGGCGCCGCTGCCGAGCAGGACGCGCCCAGCGCAGCCATTGCAGTGCAAACCCTGGAGCTGCGTCTTCCCCCGGACTCGTGACTCCGCACCTCCACGCAGGAGGCTCCCCTCCTCCCACACACACTCCTCCTGAGAAGATTTACATCCTAGGCACGCACACCAAGCTCAGGCTATCAGGATCATTTCAAAAAAAAAGGCGTCCCAAGCGTACGAATCTCTGCCTGGCGACATCGGCGCTCGAAGCTCCTGGTGCTGGAGGTGGCTGGGGAGCTCCAAGACCAGGGGCTGTAATTATGCCTCCTTCTAAATCAGCATTAAACGATCCGTCCTCAGCTTTTGCCTGATGCTTCGGCAAGTCATGAATCAGCTTTTCGCTACTCAGATTAAGAACTGAAAACCACGCGGTGTTGGGGTGCAGCAATCAGCTCCCCCCCGCACAACTACGCAACGTGTTCCGTATTTTTCATCCCTATGGCTCAAAGGGAACATTGCTGCTGGCACCGTCGGACAGCTATGAACCAAATGGATCCTCCACGTTCAACAGCAGCTCCTGTGAACCGTTACAACCTAAGTGGCCAAGCTGTAACAAACCCGATTGTAATAACGCCACCCAGCGTCTTTGGGACGGAGAAAACACACATTTTACCACAGTAAGCCAAACTGCCCATTTAACAGACATTTTGTTCCTACAGCATCCTGCATTTGTGGAGCTACAGCCCTCCTACACCCTGCCCGGCAACATTAAAGCTTCCAGCACCTACAGCAGAGTGCCCTACCCGCCCAGCCGTGACCCACCATGCTCAAAAGCCCAGCTAAAAGGGAAAAGGCAGTATGGAGGAGAGCGAGCTTCGACTCATTTTGTGTAAACAAGCACAGAAGGCAGCAGGGTACCCTGGTTGCCAAGAAGGCCAATGGCATCCTGGGGTGCATCAAGAGGAGCATGGCCAGCAGGGCGAGGGAGGTTCTCCTCCCCCTCTACTCTGCCCTGGTGAGACCCCACCTGGAGTACTGGGTCCAGTTCTGGGCTCCCTGGCTCAAGAAGGATGAGGAACTCCTGGAGAGAGTCCAGAGGAGAGCAACTAGGATGATACAGGGACTGGAGCATCTCCCCTATGAGGAAAGGCTGAGAGAGTTGGGCTTGTTCAGCCTGGAGAAGAGAAGGCTGAGAGGGGACCTCATCACCACCTACAAATATCTTAAGGGTGGGGGTCACGAGGACAGAGCCAGACTCTTCCCAGTGGTGCCCAGCGCCAGGACAAGGGGCCATGGGCACAACCTGAAGCAGAAGAGGTTCCAGTTGAACGGGAGGAAGAACTTCTTGACTTGGAGGGTGCCCGAGCCCTGGCCCAGGCTGCCCAGGGGGGCTGTGGAGTCTCCTTCTCTGGAGATCTTCAACCCCCGCCTGGACGCTGTCCTGTGCCCCCTGCTCTGGGTGAGCCTGCTTGAGCAGGGGAGCGGCCCTGGGTCATCTCCCGAGGGCCCTTCCAACCCTTGCCGTTCTGGGATTCTGTGATTTTCCCTAAAAAGCAGCAGGAGCAAACACTGAATTTATGCAACCAACCTGGTGAATTCCCATAGGAATTCAACAGAAACTTTGTGTCTTCCCCCCTCCCCCCCATTATTTTATCCCAAGCAAAAGTTTTGCTCGCTAGATTAGCAACCAAAAATTGTCCAAACCCCCCAATACGTGTATGAGAAACAGGTTTTCTTCTGTTCTGTGTAGTGGCCAGGTTGTCTACCAGTACTTTAAGATACTGAGGGAGCAGATTTTGAGCTTTAAGAGTAAAGCTCTGGGAGACGCCTGAGGTGCAGTATCAGATGAAGTGATCTAAAGCCATCAGCACCACTCTTGCAACAGAATATTGAAGGATCATCATCTCCAGCTCTGAAAGACAAATGCCACGGGCTTGTCTTGACATTTACACAGTAGGAGAAGCTGTGAGCAACCCAACAGAGTAACGCACAGTAACAGTTCCTCCTCATTGTTTTCTTTCACTGCTTGGGGGAAAAACTGGCAGCAGGGGAGAGCCCTACAATGGCACTAAACAAAGACACTTGGGTTTTCAAAAAAAGAAATGCCAACAGCCTTGTTCTGCTGAGTTTCGGCTTCCTCGGGATCTGTCGGTGCCACAGCACGCACAAGACACTGGGATTTGGATGCTGCACGGTCACCTCCAGCCACAGGAACCCAATCTTGAGCGAGGTGAGCTCGTGGACATCCCATCTGCAAGGGCCAACTGGTTTCCCTCCCAGGCTGCCACTTCTCCCGAAGCTTTTAAGAACGTAATCGCCTTCCTATTCCCTACCCTGCAAAGCCTCGTCAAAGCTGGGGGACAGGTTAGGAAGGGGCAAGATGGGACAGATCCGATGCCAGATGACTTAAGAAAGGGAGGCTTGGAAAGCCAGGCTGGAGCTCAAGTGAGTCACAGACCAGGCACCGAGCAGAGTCCGCCTCTGCCTTCTCCACCCCCTCCCATCAGGCGTTTCTACGCATTGAATCAAAACACCGTGTTTTACACGCAGATAACACGGGCTAAAGAAATCCCTCACAGCTGCCCTGAGCAGCACAGTAGGAGCTCTTTAAAGGCATCGTGTTCTCACGAGGGGCTTCTCAATTGTCGTGTGAATCCAACACGTGGCTTTCTATCCTTCTAAATATTCCAGAGCCTTTACATACTTGGTTTTAAGCTGTTGGACCAGTGATGCCCTCTTACAGGCTCAGATAAAAACATAAGAAGGAAATTAAATAAAAAGGAATGTCAGTGCTTGATCAGATAGTTATCTTCTCCCCTCCAAAAAGCAAGCTTAAACCAAATCAGGCTGCCTGCTCGTAGCTAAAAGTATTTTAAAATAGACCCACTCTTTTGCAAACATTTTGCACAAACCGTAGCTAAAAGTATTTTAAAATAGACCCACTCTGTTTCAGCTGGGACTTTTGCAAACATTTTGCACAAATAGGGACTGAATATGAATCTTTTAACAGCAAAACCTTCAGCACCCTTCACTGTATTATCATAGAAACACAGAATGGTTTAGGTTGGAAAAGCCCTTTAAGATCATCAGGCCCAGCCATTCCCCTACCCCTGCCATCCCACCACTAAACCCTGTCCCTAAGCACCTCGGCTGCCTGGCTGTTAAATCCCACCCAGGGATGGGGACTCCGCCACGGGATTGCACAAGCTCACACCCAGAGTCTCCATCTGCTGAAATGCCAAAAGCCACAGAAATTCTTCACCTGCCAGAGAAGTTGCAGGGACCACGAATGATGCCACAGGGAAACAGGCGGCCCAGTGGTTCACAGCCTACGGACCCACCGGCCAGGAAAGATCCAGGAATTTCCACAGTTCACAGGTTCTGTTTCCCGAGAGTTGTTTGTCCCTTTTTTGCTCCTTCCCCTGGCAAGTACACCCGAGTACCCCCACCTCCCTTAAAAAACAAAAGGTAGCTGGGCCCCCAGGTCTACCGACGGACTGCTTGCAAGGTTTTGCTTCCATCCGAACCACTCCCCCTTTGAAGACCCCAGCCAGCCTGCCTTTAGAGAGTTCAATACAAGCATGAAGTCTCAGCTAATTGAATCGTTTATCCATCAGGTGCGGAGCTGGTGTCAGAGGACCAAACCCACGGGAGCAGAGCTCTGCGAGCCACACACAGGGTCCCAACCTTCTCCTCTCCACGCAGCCCTGCAGCACAAACCCCTCTTCTACCATCACAGCGCGTGTTTGGCTGTAAGAGAAAACACACGTGAGCTGAAAAGAACCAAAGTTTCAGGCAAGAGCTTACATCCAAGTCACACCCTCCCACCCCCCAAATTAGAAAGTGAAGGCAGGACTAATAAAGAAGATTCAGCACTGTAATTAAAGAGCTTTTTAGTCTTCAAGGTTTTAATTTGAGCAGACATTTCTACTAGGTTCTCAACATATCTACAGCAAAGTTTACAGCCGCTTCATATCTGTTTTTCTCCCCCCAAACGGCTAAGCAACTGGAGCCATGATAGTTTTTCTCAGATTAGTTACTTTTTTTGCAATATATTCAACGCCACAGCAGCTGGGATTCTGTACACGCACAGCATACATCTAACAATAGCACACGACTCCCAGCCCTGTCACTTATTTCTTTTTTTTTTTTTTTTTTAAATAAAAAAAGACTGATGCAGCAGCCAAGTCCAATTAGCAATTCCAGATGTTTGGACAGAAGTGCACTCATCACTTAAGTTTGTACTAGTTCACAGATACGTAGCACACATCAGCTATTCAACGTCACACAGTTACAGAAAAAGGGAGTGCTAGTATAGACATTTTCCCCTCATACAGGAGCCTGTACACGACAGCACTTTCCGAGGCTTTAGCAAAGCAGACATTAGACGCCAATATGCTGTACAGTGCAATTGAAGTTATATCATATGCAACATGGACAATAGTGCACTTAAAACTGGTCGCCACATTCAAGAGTTAGATCAATACAATCAAAAATATTGAAGGTACATATTCCCTTATGAAAACTGTGCAAGTTAGTTCCTTTTCCCTTTTTTTTTTTTTTTTGTTTTTGGTAAATGGCAGAGTGTCCGTATTGATAGACGCCAGCGTTTGGGGGAGGGGGCCCTCAGTGTCCAGCTTATTGCACAAATAGCTACGTGCAAAAAAAGAGCAGAATCAGGGGTGTCAGCAAGAGCATAAGGCAGCGTCAGACCGAAGAGCCAGAGCTGGGCACTGCCGCAGCGCTTACAGCTCAGGAAGATGCAGGTAACCTGCAGACGACGTGTGGGTGACTTCACAGGGCAGAATCCTGCAGACATCCCCCTCTAAGAGGAAGCAAGCCGATCATCAATCTTAAATATGTGAATAAATATGGTGGACACGCAGGTAAACAAGGAACTGGAGGGCTCCGCTGTGTGTTACCACCAGCGGCCACCAGACCGGAGCCTGGGAAGCACTGGGAATGGAAAGGGGAATGTGCAAGTAGCCTGACACAAGAGGTCTGGGAACAGTCTTCCCCCGGGAGGACCTGCGAGGGTCCATACATCTTGTCTCAACTCCACCATGTGAAATACCTTGCAGGACTGCTCCGGGAGCTCCTCCCAAAGGTGACTACTATTTCCAGGTTAATTTAAGCCTCCAGCTCCTGCTGTCTGCAGTGACTACAAGGCGACATGTGGCAGAGGAATCGGGGAAGAAACCACGGTGGCTGCTCAGAACGACACTAGCGTTTTCAGAGGAAGGCTGTGATCCACACTACTACTAAGCCAAGGCAAGCAGGCAGCACTTGGGTGGGGATTCAGGCCTGAAACACAAGTCGAGGATGAAATGCCAGCTCAGAGAGAATTTTCTGCCTTTTGTTAGCTGTCACAGCTGGTTACCCAGTTTCCTCAGATGCCTGCAGTTTGCATGAGACTAGAGCAGCCAGGCAATTAGATCAAAAAAAAAAACCCAACCCTCTTTGCTTCTCTATTATTTAGCTCAATATATAATTACTATGTTAGGGAATTGCATAACCTTTAAGTGTGTTTTATGTATAGTCTATTATGGGGAAAATAGTGCCTTCTGAATCCTTCCCATCTGGAGAGCGACAACGTATTTCAGATGTACAGGAACAGTAGAAATTCCAAATTGGATAGGGATACAGCATCCAGGCAGGTGCAGATCCCACAGACATAGTTTTAAAAGGGCGAGCAATAATTTGAAGGGCTCACATTTGCAATATGCCCAGAAGGGAGCTCCAGAAGCCAGGGTTTGGAGGCAGGAGGAAGGCACGGCCAACTTGTGCCTCCCCTGTTCGGCAGCACAGACCACCAGCCACCCTGAGAAGCGTTCCCCATCTCAGACTTGATATAGTGAGAGAGACTGTCGCTCTCCAAACCTAAAAAGAAATTGATATTACAAGTGGGGGGAATTATTCTGCTGCCTTCAGTGAACAATGGTTTAAAAGAGATCTTTTTATTTTTTAAGCCAGATGACTTCAGGACTAAATTTAGGTAGTCAAGAAGAAAATGAAGGACTGAAAGCAAAAGGCATTAAGGTAGCACTTAATCACCATCACAGCGTTTTAAAGAGCTTCCTTAGTTACAGAACTTTCCTTGGAATACGGCTACATGATTTTTGCAGATTGCTCTCCAGATACTTCTGTGGCAACTAAAGATCCTGCATTTTCACATATACCTATCTGCATGTGAAGTGGCTTTTAAATAAAGGCAGCTTCATTCCAAAACAGCATAAAGTGTGGCGGAAGCTCAACAGTTTCCAAAGAGATCAACACTGACCTAATGCAGCCCCCTTCATTCCAGCAGGCACAGGCTAACAGCAAGAGCCTTTTAAGATAACCCCAGCCACGTACACCATTGCTAATTCACATCTTTTCAGTCTTGTACAGCTACCAGTGGATCAAGCTGAACAAATGCCTCAGTGAGTTAATTTTTCAGACCTGCTCTTACCTGTCTTTTTAAAGGAGGAAAAAAAAAAAGTCTCTAGCAAAAGCTCTTGATTTTATAAAAGCAGGCTGCAGTCACAGAAACGCAAAGATCAGCTACAAAATACAAAGTTACTTGGGGAAAACAGCTTATCCCTAAAGTCTTTAAGCAGTTTTAGCAGCTACGAATGATCTGAACTATTAGCATTTTTTACAGCAGGACGGCCTCTTAATCTGCAGCAGCTACCTGATATGTTAGATCACCTTAACTCCCAGCTCCTGCTTTTGATGTTTCACAAAACGTACAGGAAGAGCATGAGAGGAAAAAGCGCACCAGGTGGAGCAGAAGTGTTTTGTTGAGCTGTAGATTAAGTGTTGCTCTTGCACCCCAGCAACGCTGTGAACCTGTTCACGTGTACAAAACCAGCCAGCACAGCCCCAAGTTTCAAGAGGGCAACTCAACTCTAGTTAAAAGGACAGCTCCGAGCCACTGTTTTGCCAGTGAACACCTCTGCCAACTACTTAACCTTTTTCTTTTCCAGATAGAACAAAAAAAGTTTGTTATTCCTTAGGAGATATTTGTCCATGGGGGACAATTCCACCTGAAGGTCATGGCTTAAACATTAGCAGCAGAATCCCTACTTCAGTTCTGTATTGCACTGAAATTTCTTGCTCTTGGTTTGGTACTCGACTTAACTGCTCCCAGGCCGATGTTTAACACAAACCCCCAAGTGTTAGATGTGAAGGCTACTGAGAGTATCATATAGACTGGTAGAACCTGTAGTTAGGTTATACCAGTTTCTAGTTTTTCTAGGAAACTAAAGAACTAAGCTGCCTTCCTTGCTCTTGGAGAGAAAAGGTGCTTTCAGACAAGATGCCTTTACCTATCTCTACAGAACTTAGTACTTTAATCCTGCCAAGTGTTCAGAAAATTCAACAAAACTGGAAAAAGTCCAAAATAAATTTGAAACATCCTGTCTCTTGGCCCATCCTGGTCATCCATACAGTTGGGTGGAGGTAAGAGTTCCAGCTTCAGCTGACACTGTACACAATTTCAAGACAGAAAAGCTGCCAAGAGAAGACACTATGCCCAGTTGTGTATGTCTTCTGTAAACAAAACAAAAATCCCTCCCCAAAAGCAGGGCGGTACATAGTGTGAAGTGAAAGTTTCAGCAGCGGTAGGACTGAGGGTCAGCTGTACCCGGAGGGCTCTGCAATACATGCACTTTCCATGTTTAGTCTTTAACATAAAGGGGACTGGAAAGGAAAGACCCGAGGCAAAGCCCTGCCAGCTCACAGGTTCTCCTGCATCTTGTCATCTGTTTCCATCTCTGCTAGCTGCCTCCTCAATGCATTAACCTTTGCCTGAAGTTCCTTGTTGTATTTTATGATGTTGTTCATTTCTTCGTGGGCTTCGTCTAGGAACTTGGAAGGCCTGTTCCACCGAAGAAAGACACCTGAAAGCCCAGAGACAGCACAAGTCAGAAGGGTTTCTTGTTACAAGGAGGAAACATTACTCATATTCCATTAGCTCTCAAGTAACCTGCATACAGTTCACGTGGTTTTTTTTTTTCTTTACTCTCTCCCCTAAATAGCATTTAGAAATACTGACCCTCCTCTCCAAGTTCACCATTCTATTATACAAGTTTAATGAAGAAAAAATGAGGGGGGTTCATCCCTTTTTTCTCATATACTGATCAGACCAATCCACTTTTAGTCTCCACCCTGCCAAGACAGCCTGCTTGCTTCGCTGTAATTAACTCTTCAGCATACATAGGATGGAGAAAGTTCCTGCAGCAGGGAGCCTACTGCACACAGGTTATCCTGGCCAGCGTGGTCAAGAATGGAGAAAGGGAAGTCTTGGCTGACATAGAACAAAAGCCTGAGGCCTGTAGAACATCTATAGATTAGGCTATATCACTGCAGAAATACTGTGCCAAGAAGTTAAATGGTACTAGTAAGGCTCCCTGGCAAAGAGCTGCATGTCACCAAACCTTCGGAGAAAGCATTATGCCTCTGGGGATGGCACATGCCAAAAATATTTTGGAACAGCCTTCAAAGGGATTGGGATCAGCAGCAGCTGAGACAGACTAAGCACAGAGCAGAGACAACAGGAGCAAACACTGAGACAGCTTTACAAGCACCCACAAAAGAGAAGCAGCAAGCCTGGCTTACCTTCCCAGAGCTGCAGGCTCTGTGGGGCAACCGAAGGCCAGATGACAAGGCTGTTGGCCTCAAAAAGAGGATTCTGGAATTTGCTCAGCTCTTCAGACCTGTTCACCCAGGACCACAGGGACATAGTCTTTTGCGGCAGCTTCAGTTTAGACCTAACAAACCCATAGGAACAAGTCAGTTTTCACTTTTATACTGTAAAGACTCATTTTGTTTTGTCAGAACCCTGCAGACTGGAATGCCACAAGCTTTCCCATGTGCTACTGGCCCAGATAATTCAGCCTAACCCTTCTGATACCTCTCACCAACATGGCACAGGGTGTAAACCTAAAGCAATTACCTCAACCTGGCCAATTACAATTAGTTGCAAAGAAAAGATGGGGAAATAATCATTTGTAAGTTGGGCGGAAGCTAGATGCATTCTGTCCAGATGAAGAATCAGTCGCCTCCCCCAAGTGGTTTGACTGCCAGGTTTTGAAAGGGATTGAACTCCCGTGTTAAGCTAGAGCTGGGAGGTGGGTCTGCATCAAGGAAGGAGCGCAGGGCAACTCTCAGGGAACATTAAAGCAGAGTTACTGCCGGAATTGTGCAATGGGCACATCTGATGAGGTCCCTCTGGTGGCAGGAAGCATCAGAGCACAGAGAGAAAGCAGTGCTGTCCTCCCGGGTCAAAGCCACCTTCAGGAGTTACGCAGGGCTCTCTATTCCTTAGATTCTGGCAAACCTCATACTGCTTGCACTAGCAAATTGACCTGCCACCCAGGCGAGAGATTCACCATCCCTGTGAATGCTCCAGACAGCTCAAGCTTAACATGAGACTTCAAACATTCTCTGTGCTCCCAGGCTGACATATTCAGACGTGACAGGCAGGTTATTACATGTGACATTCAATACTCTTGCAAATTTCATCTTATTGGTTTCAGGTCTAACTTGGTTTTGCAGATGACCAGTTCAGCAGCCCCACAGCAGACAGAAGAGTCTCTTCTAAGCAAGGATTACTTTAAAGGCAGAGAGGTTTATAGGAAGCTTTAAATTGCCTTCCTTATCTTGTCATTTCAGTTCTCTTTTCCCCTTCTGCTCATTCACTGGTCTTCAGTTAAGCAGGAGACCATCAGACATGGTCTTACTGGAGTCAGGAGACTTTCCAGCTTTGGCCTCCAACTGCCTTGACCGTCTCCTCCAGGCCTGCATGGACAAGTTTGCTTCCCACAGCTATGACTCGCGTCATGATTGAATTCTAGCCGTTTATTCTTTTATGGAAAGAGTTTCTGCACAAGAGGCTATATAAACTGGTGATGGGTGGAGATTTTTCAAGGCCACACGTGGAAACAGAAAAGACAGTCTAAGGTATTAGCTTGAACTTGGAGAAAGCTAATTCAAGTCCCTGACCAAGCCACAAATTGCTGTAGTCACAATGTCCCACTTCTAAGAGGAACAAGCTCCCCAACACTGCAGCAGACTACGTAACTGCAACAAGAGCAGCTCACCTGTGCTAGGGGAGACCACACAGGCACCCTCACCCTTTTTCAAACCAAGAGACGTTTTTGTCAGCTACAGCCTGATATTGAAAGGGTTGAAAGCAAGCATCCTCACCAACCTTTCATTTTCGTTGTTTCCCAGGAAAGTCCCAAACTGTGAAGCGTAAGCATGTTCAAAGAGCATAATGAGGAACTGTTCGTTGAATTCAAAAGAGCAAGGGAACTGACGAAGGATTTGCCACACACAGTCCAAAAAGAGGAGAAACACCGGGGCCTCCCATTTCTGCTTGCTGTTTGAATAAGCTGATTGGGCACAGCGCTGCTGAAAAGGGTGACCAGCCTATATGTAAGAACCAGAGAGAGCATCACAAAGTAACGGGATGTGAGTACACGTAGCAAAAAGACTTCAGAGCTAGTTCATGCAACTATGCTATTGCTGCTCTTTTCTACAACCGTAATTTTGTCAAGCACCCTGTAACAAACTGCTAGCAACCATGACCAACTTCGCTGCCTTTTTCAGGCTATGTACCATTTTACCAGGAACAAAACACACTGGTGTAGGTGTCCCGAAGGACCAGTCTGAGGATATTAGCTGCAAGAGTACAAAGATTAGAACTAAGGTTTTGTGGTTTAGTCTGAACACTGCTCTCTAAAGAGATGTTCACCCTGAGCGCACAGAACAGGCAATTCCCCAACCCCCCAAAAACTACCATGAAAGGCAGAGGCCCCACGGAGTGCCAGAGGTACAAATGACTCAGTTAATGGTGTTGCTCTTAGGACAAAGGCCGTTCACACTAAGCAGGGCTGCAACAAGGCCCAACCTGTTTGCTGCCTCTCAGGCTCTTTCTCAATACAACCGTCACTGGAATAGATATGCCCCTTTGTCCAGAGGCTTCTCTTACCTGCAGCCACTCCCTCACAACAAGAGATTCAAAGCCACGTATGGTCCTGCAGCTTGGATCCAAGATAATCTGTGCCAGAGAAGTCACCTGGAGTGTCGAATCAGTTCCTTCAGTCCCATGGACTAACACTGATGCACCTTCCCTGTGAAAGAACAAGGCGGAAAGGAAGAAGAGCATGAATGAGCAGAACACTTCCCAAGGACCATAGAATTGGTTAGGTTGGAAAAGACCTTCAAGATCATCAAGTCCAACCATTACCTCAACCCTGCCATCCCACCACTAAACCCTGGCCTTAAGCATCTCACCTGCCCAGCTTTTAAATACCCCCAGGGATGGGGACTCCACCACCTCCCTGGGCAGCCCCTTCCAGTGCTTGACAGCCCTTTCAGTGAAAAAGTTTTTCCTAATGTCCAACCTAAACCTGCCCTGGCACAACTTGAGGCCAATGTTGATGGTCAATGCATCCCATGGGCACCAGTGTGGCTACCCTGACAGCACTGAGGTTTTGCTGGCTCTTTACCCCTTCTTTCCTCCCCTAAGCTTACTCCCCACCCTGCATGGAAGCATACCACCTTCTCCACCTGGATCCTCACCGACCCTAGCTAGAGCTCTCATCACTTAAGACTTAGTTTCTTTCTAAGCATTCTGGAAATCCAGAACCTTTGCCATGTTGACTGAAGATGTGCAGTGAAATCTCTTTTGTTGTTCTCACTATTTTGAATTGGGACCCCTCTGAGTTATAGCATGGAAATGCATCTCAAAATTTGCTTGTGTCATTTATAGTTTTGCTAAGTACTCCGAAATCTTCCCAGAAGCACTGCAATGAAGACATATCCCCCCAGATGCTCTGCAAAACGATACTACGAGATTCTTGCTCAAACCTGGGCTTAATTGTATTTGGGCCTCAATTGGGGTTTACTGCAAGAAAAGTCAGCCAAAAAGCCAGTTCAGGAGAAAGGAAAGGCAGAGCTTGGCCTCCGCGAAGGCAGAAGAGTTAGCGTGCTGAGCAAGGAGGCTTGTCAGAGAGCCAAGCACAAAGCCTTCTCACTCACCAGCCAGCACAAGTGAATCAGCAGAACAAGGTGAGGAGCAGAGGGAGCTTGGAGTCTCAGACAGGAAGGTTTTGCGCACTGCTAGGGGCCCATGTGCTGTCACTCCCCACACTCCAGTGGGGACTGTCCAGGACAGCCGATTCCCTCCCCTCTTCTTCCATCCTAGGCTGTGTTTGGATACAATATCAGAATCTCATCCATGTGCTCCTGAAGGAAGGACTGGATGGTATTGAATGACATTTATTCCCCTTATTCTTCCCAAACCTGGACCCAGTGTCTCACTTCTGCCAGCATCCTTACACCCAGAAAGGAAATTAACTGCAGGCTGTATTTCTTTCTCTGCAGAGACCTAACCTAAGCAGCAAAGCGTGGGTAAGAAAGATCAATCTACCAAGCAAGTAACCCTGCACGCATTACTTGCTTTTTTTGAAGTGAAAAGTATAAAAATGTGTACCTTGAACACTGCAACATCTTCGTCCACAGTCTAAAACAAACCCAGTCCCTCTGCAGTACGGATAATCTTCAGAGACTCTCTTCCTCCCCGCAGGCAGTGGCAGATAAAGAGGCTGCTTAACAGCCAAGCCCAATTGCTAACTGCAAGCCTCTGCACTCCTCAAAGTGGGGCACGCCAGGATAACGCTATTTTCCCCTTTCATCTTTCAGGTCCCAGACTTTTAAGATGCTGCAAGATCTGTCCCAGCCATTCCCTCCCCGCGGCCAACATAATTGAGCCATCCTTGTCAGCTCAGCTATGATCTCCGGGCTCTGGATGAGGCAGGCCAGGGACCAACGCTGAGCCAGCCTGCCATAGCTCCGGGTAAACAGAAAAAGCAAAGCTGAGGTTAAAAACAAGGAAATTGTCCACTGTCCCAAAAAGCCAGAAGAGTTTTGTCACTGATCTTTCTCATTATACACATGGAGGGAATAATTACAGATAAAACTATTGATCAAGAGTAATCCTTTCCTGGCACAGAAAAAGCAAAGCTGAGGTTAAAAACAAGGAAGTTGTCCACTGTCCCAAAAAGCCAGCAGAGTTTTGCCACTGATCTTTCTCATTATACACATGGAGGGAAGAATTACAGATAAAACTACTGATCAAGAGTAATCCTTTCCTGGCAGTCAATAACCAAACAGGCACTGTCAGTGCTTTTAAGAAGCACAGCAGCTCATACGTTAATGCATTAATTACCAATGACACTGCATTTCAGCCTACTTCTGTACCTGTGTAACACGTTCCCTAGCTGATATGAAAAGCTGGGTTTTCCCTCAGTTTTGAGGAGGGCTTTCCCTGCTCAGAGCCACAGAGAAATGACATTTAGACCCCCGTGTGTGGCCTTACAAACCCTGGCACCTCACAGCTAGCTTTTGCTCCTCAGCCTGAGGTCTAAAGACATTTTGAGGACAAGTTAGCCGAGTCAGCAGCATTTACTAAAGAAGTGTCAGGTTGAAAGAGGTCACAGGCACTTATAAGGGATGAACAAGATTGCTTAGATAGGACTACAGGGATAAAAATTTCATGAGGAAAAAGCACTGGGCCAATTCCTAGGGAAACCAAGGAAATAGCATTGTTTTAATCTCTAGAAGCAAGGTGAGGTATTTGAAACATTCAGCTGAAAAAAGGGGACTTTTTTTTAAGACTGTTCTCACTTTACTAGGCTACCAAACAGCATTTCAGGTGGGCACATTCTAACCTAAACCTTCAATAAAATTAACTACATTTGATTGGTTGCATCAGACACAGGAATATACCTCAACTAGATGATCTAATACCTATTCTTAGTCAATATTTCCTCCCTCAGGCTTGTACTTCTAAAAATGCAAGCGTGATTTACTGGAGGAACATTCCTTAACCATGACAAAACAGTATCTTGCATGGGTATGAGCAAGCCAGTTCACGGTGGCCAGTTACAAATACTTGAAGTGGCAACAGAGGTATTTAACAGGTAAGTTGTAACCAGTAAATAAGAAACTTAAGGCTTTCAGAAAAAGATTTACCTATCAATACACTGAGCTGCTAGACAAGCTGCAGTTAGTATCTCCTTGATGTGAGTCAGCCAGTTGGAAGCTTCCAGTTTACTGAGCCAGCGGTCCATATTGTGTGACTGGTCATTACAAGCTTCCACAAGTTTGATGAGGCTTTCCTGCAGAATATTAAACCTTTGGGAAAAGCAGAATATTATTGAAAACATAAGCAGTAACACAGCAACCAGGACAGCATGCTTACAGAAATACACTGATCCCAAAATAAAGCGCTATGAGGTTATTTCAAGAAGTACAACCCTGTAGAAGTCACATCTCCTCATTCAGCAAACCTGTTTTCACTGGGAATCCCAAGCCGTGGCTAACTGCCAGCAGAATACAGCTCTTTGGACATCAGTTGTCTCCTCCCCTTCCAAAGACATTGCTTCATAAGGCATTTTTACAGATTGCTTCATACGGCCTTTTCCTTATCTTACCTGAACTCTGTGTGTGTTGAGCCATATCTCACACTTGCCACATAAAACGTGTTTCAGTAGTCTCGCTCTCATTACCAAGTACAAGTGTGACTGCAACCTGGCATAGACATTAGCAAGTGTCAGCCAAGCTTCACGTGCTGCACCTTCGCTCTCTCTACTACAACCAGACATCCTGGGGGAGTTTCAACCTGTAGAGCTGCAACAGTAACCTGAAAGCCACCCAGCACAAGGACACAACCCCACTGTAACACAGAAAATTTTAAACTAGACTCAAACTTCTTGATAGAACCACACTAAGACTAGTTTGGCTAGTTTCCTAAAAATGTAAGAAAAAGAGGGGGGAAGGGAGCACACTTTGCATCACTTCTGTAGTTGTTGCAACACATCCTCAAGCCCTGGAAAGCTGGTGTTCAGCACGCAGCTGGTAAAACCAGATGCTTCTCTGGTTTTGTTTCACACTATGCCTTCCAGGGGCACCAAGCTCCTGAGGGATCAAATCCCACTCAACGCTGATTCCAGCGTGTGCTCAGGTGTAACAGAGGATGCAGCTAGCAGACCAGATCTCAGAAAAGCTGACAAAGCCAAATGGTAATAGCATGAGATATTTAGTCTTTATATATTGCGGTTTATTCATTCCTCTCTATCTGATGCTTATGTCTGCCTGTAAAATAATCAACATCAAATTTAAGTCCACATAACATTTTTTGGAAGCAAAACCAAATAGTTCAAGGGAACAGCCAAGGAAATTCCTTATATTAGCTCCTCAAGAACTGGCCAACATAGCGATGATGGGAGCAGCTGCTTTCCATAGTAAAATTACTGCATGCCCATGGAGAAGGGTTTCCCAAAACTAAGGCTTAAGAGCAGTTGAACAACATTGGACCAAAAGTCTATTTAACTTAGTAACTTGTCTCCAAACAGCCAAACAATATTAGATGTCCGGAGAAAAGTACTGGATAAGAGGAGGGTGACTGTCACAGAACAAATCCTCACCTGCAGAAATTCTCTGGCAAGGGACTTGCCCATTCCTGTGCACTACTGTAAAGAGGAACCCAGGAAGGCTGGGGTGCAGCTATAGACGGTCAAGAAAGAGATCATAGAATCGTTTAGGTTGGAAAAGACCTTTAAGATCATCAAGCCCAACCATTAACTGCCATTATGGCACAGGGAGACTGCCTGATGTATGAAACCTGTAGCAGGTTGTTCAGAACAAACCAAACACAGCTTCCCAAAGCCAGATACCTTTATCATCCACATACCTTGATTTGGCAAAAAAGAAAGGTGACCCCATTCACAGGAACCAGGATACATGGCCATTTCTTACAGAAGCAAATACGTTAATGAGCTAACATGGCTCTGCCAATGCAACCCTACAAAACTGAGCACAGAGAAAAGCCTGGGTGATTTCACCCACCTCTCAATACATTTGTGAATCCTTCTCCACTGGGGATAGTGTGCTTCTTGTTCAAAGCCACCTCCTTTGGCCCTGGCCTGCTGGGCAACATTCAAGGACCTTGTATCAATGATGTAGCCACGTTTGCCAGGCCGTAGTGTGGCATTAATAAGCTTCTCATCTTCTTTACACCGTCTGCCATTCGTACCTGTAAGAGGCTGGCTACTTCGCATCATGACCTGCCGAGACAAATAACCACGAATTAGGTACTGGAAACGGAGAGACTTAAGATTGAAAGCCACCGACCACTTGAGCTCCAAGCCAAGAATGGAGACTGAGACTCACAATGCAAAGGACACCCCTTCACTAGAGGATTTCTTAGGGGTCTGTAAGTGTGGACTGCAGACCGATGCATTAGGTAACTGGGTCTCGAGGCCAGGCATGGAGAACGGCTCTCCAGAGAAGAGAAATCCATACAGTATGCTCTTGGTTTCCTTTACAACTCAGGTCATCATAACAACACTTACGGGACTGAGATAGCTCAACCTTGAAGAGCTTCCTCTATTAGTTCAGGGGTAAAATTCAAGTGTGGCCCTCTTGGATCTCCAGCTCTTCTCTGGGGAGTTACACCAGCAAGTGCAGCTCTCACCCCACCACACTTTCATCTGCTCCGAGTGCGATCCACCACGCCTGGACACAAACAAGCAAACTCCCTCATCCCCGCTGCTTGACGCACAGAAACATCTCCCCGGTTCTTCCTACAGCTGCTGTTCTCCCTTGCCCTGAATCCTTCAGTTCGTTCAAGTGCAATCCCTCCCAGGGACTGAATTTATTTAAAAAACCCCCACCCAAACTAGAAATCCTTGAATTGAGCGATCATTTGGCTCAGAACTTTCTAAGTTACAGACATCTTAGAGGCTTTATCCCTTTAATTATTCCTGTAGTACCATCTTTGTGAGCCACTGAACTGGCTTGCTGCTGATGGCTCCTTTATAAACCAACATTTTCAGGATAGTCATCTTTAAGGTCTCTTCCCAACTCTGTTCTTAAAACACTCAAGTCATTCATGTGTTAAAGATGCCCCTTAGGTACAGTTTTACCCAGTGGCTAGACTAATAAATCTTAGGTCCACGGATTCAGGAGCTGAGATTTCTCTTTAGTAAATGCCTTTCACTTCAGAAAGCATCCCAGCCAGCTCAAATGATAACTAAAATGTGAGGGCAGCCAGTCAGCAACCCCAGCGACACTGGAGAACTCAGAGTCGGGAGAGCAACGTGACAGACAGTGTTACTGTCACAAGTTCAAGCACTCCAAGCCAAATGCTATTATATTCCTCACACTCGAAACATGCACAGTTCGGAGAGATAATTGAATAAACCTTCTTCCAACAGCTTCCATTCAAGCTGAGAAAAAGCAGAAAGCACGACTGTTATGAAGATGGTGGATGGCTGAATTTAAAGCAGAGCAAAAAAAAAAACCAAACCCCAAAGACACTACTAAGTCAGACTGGACGTCCTCTAATTCTGGGTTTACAAATCTCAGCAACAGGAGGCGAGAGCACATTAGAGCACTTGACTCAGAAGCCTGGATCAAGTTTACAAGCCGCAGGTTGGACATCCCAACATCTTCCGAACTGGTTAGATCAGCGAGAGATACACAGAATTACTCAACAATTTCATAAAGTGCATTTCTTAATGACAGTGTATCAGTCACTCAATTAGATTTTGGCTTGCTGAGAGGTGGTAAAGTCTGCGCAACAGCAAGAATTTGCAACTCCTGAAACATGTTATACTGACGGGCCCCGAGAACAGATTGTTCCGATCGCTCCTTCGACAGTTACACAGCAGAAGCGGCGTTGGCTCCAGGAACGCTTGCTGTCATCGTGCCTCCATTATGAAGGAGACAGCCCACCACCCAGAGACAGGACAATGTGGTTTCTGCCATCCTTTCAGCATGAAGCCTCTTGGCAGATAAAGCAAGTAAGGGTGCCAGCAGTGGCTTTACAAGTCTCGTCTTGCTCTTACTGCTGTGAGCAAGCTCATGCCACATACGCTCCCAAACAAGCGGATTAATAGCTATTTCTAGGATGGAAGTTACTCAATCCATCACCCAAAACCAGTTTCACTGCATACACTTACTAAGTTGGAAAATAAAAGGAGCGAACACCTCATGAATTCGGTCTTAAGTCAAGAGCACAAGTTGGGTTTTTTTTCATTAAATGAACAGATTCACACATTTCCTTCAGGGACAACTGGAATGCAGCTCACCATCCCGTTCTTCTTATGGTAGTAGCTGAGCACTGGGAAGCGGCTGCCGTGGCGAAACATGGCCACTTTCCGAAGTGCTTCATCATCGATGGATTTGGGGACAATGACAACTGGAGGGTAGGAGGGACAGACAGAGAATTCCTTATTGATGCAGCTTAGACGCCATTCATCTGTCTGAAAAAGATCAGAACAAATAGGGCTTTGGGTCAGAAAACAGATCACAACTGTTACAGCGTAACACACTAGGGAAGAAGAACTTCCATATGGAGGATAAAGCATGCACAGAGTAATACTGGCAATCTATTCCATTTGCAGCACAGATGAAAGCTCAGTTGTCACTACTGGCATCATCACTTTTGTTCATTCAGAAATCTGGATCCCCTGTAATATCATAACCATAGTAATCGGTCAGATCAAGTCCAGCACCATATCTTGTCCCCAGCAAAAACATGTCAAAGAGATGCTATTCAAGAACAAACAAGCCTGGCCACTCTCTGCACTGAGTCTGTTGACCGATTACTTTTTTTTTCCTCCCCACACCTCTCAATGCTGCCTGCAATCATAGTATCTTGTTGCAGCAGTTCCCAGAAGCTCATTACCCAGCAGGCAGATAAAGCTCGTGGGCAATGGAAAAAAAATATCAGATGACTCCGGTTCTTGAGGCACAGGACTTATTGAACAACGTTTCCCCATCTGGTTTATCCACATCCTCGTCCACAAAATAAGCCCATGTGGTCAGAAACAGGTGATTGTGGCTTTTAATTATTGCACAGACACAGCAGACAACATGTCTGCAGTGTGCACTACAACATAACCTCCTGCATTTGCAGATAGCTTCAATCCCTCTGCTAATAGAGAGATGTGAATAGATAGGAAGTAACAGCACGGAATGCCTCTCTCTCAGGGACACCCCAGAACAGAAATCTATTCCAACATCAGCAAATTTAGAGGAAAAAAGGTTGATTTAGATGAAGGTAACACAGACTCAAACCTCTATCCGTGCTGAGAGCGGAGTTAGCAACGCTGTCCACAAGACAAAGGTGGCCAAGAAAGCCAAGAGCATCCAACTCCAGACAACAAAGCTGCTTTGAGGTCAAAATTGCAATTTAACATTTCCAGCTTGGTTCTTTCCTACGGGCTCTGCTTTACGTAAGCCGTTCCTCCAAAAGCACCTCCTGGAACCAGCACAGCATCTGAGCACAAAGGCCTCGCCGTGAACTCCTCTTACATAATTTTCAGCTTCCAACAGCCAAACACTTGTGAAAGAAGAGGGAGATATTGGCACCCTGCACCCTCACAGGCACTTGGCAAGAGAGCTCAGGCTACCTGATAGCCAGGGTCAGACACAGGACTTGGCTCCATCTCAGGCAAACCCAAAGGTCAACAAGCAGCCTCACGGACCAGGAGTCCTCGCTTACTGAAGTCCAAGCTGGAAGAGCTGACACTGCCCTAACTGCAGCCTTGGACAAGCCCAGCCTTCATGCGCGGTTTGGTGCTTCTGGGCTGGTACCACACCACTGCCTCCTGCGTTAAGGACACCATCCACATACATCAAATGGCCACGAGGCATGTATTTTCCCCCGTGGCACATAGCAGAACTTTGTCTAAAGCTTGGCATGGAACTGAACTCATGCTCCTTGATAGCAGGAAGGTGGCTTGACTGGGCTGCACCTTCAGTCATTGCATCCTTATTAGCCTTACCCTGTATTCCTTATGGCCAACAAAACCTGCTGGCAGAAGCCTTGGTGGGGAAAACGACCCACAACCCTCTACAATATGTTTTGATTTTAACAACATCATTAAATTCTTAAAAGTGGCAGCAGAATAGCAGTCAAATTTGCCTGTAAAAGCTCCAGACACAAAGAAATTAAAATGCAATATAAGAACCTTTTGAAGAGGGACAGATTTTTTTTTTTTTATAGTTCCTGTGCACTGACATGACACAAGTGTGAGAAAGCAAACAAGACCTTAAGTAACTCCTCAGCTGAGGTGTTTTCAGTAGACCGGGAAACACTACTGTGCCACTGTAGCAGGCAGAGACCTCACACAGATGCCACAAAAACCCTCCTCTGCTCATTTGTGCTCAAAAAGTTTCAGCTAGATGAAAAGTAGGAGGATAGAGCAGGTATCACAGGAAGAGCATGACAGTTAAATTATGCAGTAACAGAACACACAAGGACCCACGTCAATTCAGGATGGTTGGTTTAGCATACATTAATTACACAGCTCTGATCAGAAGTAGGTGTCTCTTCCTCTTCCCTTTCTGCCAGAGGCTTTCTACCTCTTGCCTTACACCTCTGGACTGGTACCTGTTTATATAAATGGCCCACTGGTCAGATGGAAAACCAGGATCGATTTAGACACGTTTTCTGGCAGTGAAGTCTTTCCACCAGGTGAGCAAGCTGACCTGACTCACAAAACTATTTCATCATCAGTAGATCGAAGGCATGGATGTGTGGTGTAGGAGACAGCAAAGTTATCCCTTTTGGTGGAAGCCCAAGAAAAAAAAAAATACTGGGAAAGGTACACGTCGTGTATCACCATCACCAAAACCAGCAATTGCTACCTCTGCTCAGTAGACTATCCAGTCTTGCACCAGCCCTGTTGTAATCTTATTTCATTATTCATTAGCCTCAAAGCAGCTTCTCTGAACATCTGCGTTGTATAAAAAGCAGAGGTTCTCCCAGATGCAAAGTAAAATTGCCTCCAGCAATCACGTCATAGGCGGAGATGAAAAGTTCTGGATCACATAAGGGAAGCCGGCTGGTTGCAGCTCATGCTTTTAACACGCCAACAAAGATTTATTTTTTTTCTTATAGCTTTTTGGGGTGTCTACATTAAATTACAGCAGATTTCATACGATGGTGTGCAATTTATTTACAATGAAAAACATACACATGGATATAGAACTGATAAATACCTTACTGCCACATAGGATGTAAAGAAGGCAGAATCAGAACTCCATGGCATGCTTTTTTGAGAGACTGGCTGTCACTGACATCACTGGTATGAAAAGGAATGGAGGAGTATCAACCTGATTTATCTCCCACTTTGGTAACTTAACTCTGCCCATAACCCCTTCTCCTCACCATTTATAACACCAGACATTTGATACTGTCACGGCATCCAGTTATAATTTACTGTTACATGGGAAGGAGGAAGAGAGCAGCAGCAATTAGCACCAGTTGTCTGCTGTAGCACAGCTACTTCTGCAGAGATCCAGTTAACCTCTGCAATGCCAGCTTCAGGCTGCTAAAATACACTCCAACGTGAATCAGATGAAAGTAAAACCCAACAGCGCAAGCCTCTTCTTGGCTTTTGCTTGGGGTATGCCTTCAATTTGGAAGAAAAAAAACATCATTACTAACTGGAAGAAGGAGGGAACACCAATTCAACTGTGTGCAGCAGCAGATGCAGACACGGGAAGCAGTAAGGACTGCAGTGAAAGAGAAGAGGTGGACCTCATCTTCAGACATCACCAGATAAGTATGCTGCATGAAACTCAGGGAAAGTACAAAGTTAACATTTACTTCTCCCAGCAAGAAATCTGTACAGCAGGGAATCAGGAAAAAAAGTTAGTTCCAGTTAAGGCTAGAAACAGCAAAGGATGGGGGAGTGAGCAGAAAGGGGGGGACTCCAAAGAAAAAAGAAAGTAGTCAGAAGTATTTTCTTAAACACAGTACAGGATTAACTCTTACATTTCTACTTTTCTTGTCCTAGTACTTGCTTAGCAACATTGATATTCAAATGTTACCGAAAGGCTAAAACAACAGTTATCCTTCCTCCTAAAACTGGTAATTGCTAGGAGAGGTCGTTTTCCACAAAAGAGCGTGAAACAATTCAAGCTCTACTAACAAGCCTTAAAAGAAAGAGTCAAGAAACCAGCACAGACCTCAAAGGATCCTGCAAAGCAGCAGTGACAGAGGCCATTCCCAAGGAACAGGGAGAAGGCAGCGGGCCCTGTCAGTAACAGATTGCACGTGGACAAGAAGCAGAACAACAGATGCAAGCAAAGACTGATGCTTGTCTGAGAAGAGCAAAATATGGGCTACCCACACCACTGCAAACCGAGCCCTAACCCAGACAATTCAGCTTTTTTTAAGAAGCTCCAGGGCAGAAGATAAAGCACAAATTAACTGCCCAGAACCTTGAGCTCTTTCCTACAGCAAAATGGAAGAAAAAAACCGCCAAAGCACAACAGAATGAAGAAAGTGAATTTTGGGGCAATTAAATATTCTCATCTTAATTATATGTATGTATGTCAGTGTACAAACTTCTCAGGGCCTCTTCACTTAAGTGGAAAAAGAAACTGAATTTCTGGAGTTAGTTTGCAGTGTCCTGCACTTGTTCAGGAGAGAAATCTATTTTCTCTTCTCTCACTCCTCAGGAAAAATATGAAACTCCTTGCACATACACTAATTCCGTTCAGCCACTTGCTGGTTATGCAGCAGTACAGTGAAGAGTACAAGTTTTTTTACACACATTTCACCTGACATTCCTACAACCAACCCAGATCTCAGGTACGACCCAGTGCTTCAAGCAAAACCACTGCACAGACAACCAAAAGCTGGATAAGCAAACATTAACTACCCTGTGCATCTTTTACTCTGTTTATATAGTTGTCTATAGTATCTTTAAAGCCTCATCTCGCAGTACAATAATTTGGAGCCTGCAGGCACTGTGGAGTTTTTGCTGTGACATTCAGTGAGATGTTGAGCCAATTTCTTCATAGGACTTAAATTTCAGCTAAACTACTCTGTTAGTGTGTTGGATTTATCACAGCAACCGTTCATGAAGTAGATGTTTGACAAAAGCTCTGCTGACCTGTCCCAAGAAAATAAACAGGTAGCACACACAGCAACAGCCACCAGTAAGTGACAGCCCACTGAAACTTATTTACCTCTCCATTTTCTGTAGAACAAATTAAACAATTCTTCCCTTAACACCTTCATGGACTAAATGCAAGATTGTCATGATAGTATAGCTGCTTCCCTAATCCTGGAACTGAGCTGCAGGGGCAAAGGGCTTAAGTGTTTGCTAGCAAGTTCTAGGGGCAATCCTAGATCACGCCTCGTCTGATCAATGCAACAGAGTAAAAATCACACAGGGGTTGTGTGTCTTGGGAGAAAAAAAAAAAACCACATTTAGTACAACATATGCAAAGATAAACCAATAAATTATTATTATACAGTATAATACCATATTATCAAACTTTTTTGATCTTAACTTTTATAGTTTTACTTTGCTATTGTAGAATGGGTCAGAGTTAAAACAACTCTTCTGTAGCAGGCAGACCTGGAATTAATACCTTACTAGAGCTGCAGTGTGGCTGAAATGCAGTTTTTGACAAGCTGTTACCATATTGGGGAAGGCAAGGCATAACAGATCCAGATGGATGACTTAATGGAGAGGGAGGCAGCCTTCGGAATTCCACTCATTTGACTTATTGGAGAAAAAAAAAAATAAATCAGCCATTTACTTGTTCTAGCCTGTCACATAAGAAGGTTTAATTACAGAACAAGAAATATTTGGTCAACAATGTATCTGTTGTTCAGCTGATGTAAGTGATTTGAACATGGCTTTTGCCACCATTTTGTTAAAAAGGAGCTACATCTGAAGTTTTGGGTTAAAAGCCAAGAATTAATCAACAGCTGTTAGACATGCATTTGTTAAAGAAATTGCTTATTGCCCTTGAAACACAGTGCTATGAAGTAATTAGGTTTTTAAATGTAAACCTTTCAAGGAGCATATGTTCAGAAAGCCAAGAGATCCACAAATAAGCTATCAGTGCACTTTTAAAGAGGAGAAAAAACAGCAGTGTATCAGTGGATTTACGTTAGTACCTGCATGCTGGTAAATACAACCATTGGAAGCAATTCGATTCCTGAAATCTAAAAAAGATTTCAGCTACACACAGAAAGCTAAATGGCAACAGAAGCAGAACCATCTCTTGCAATCTTTCACTGAGCTTCGAGGGATTTCCTTCTGCTGCCTTCAATCCTGTTCTCACACATCCTCACTTCTCATCAGATAGCACTTCAGCTTCTCATTGAAATGCCTGCGAGCTTCCTCTGCTGAGTTGGGAAAGCATCTGCTGCTTTGCCTCCAAACAGGAGAACACTCTGATCAGACATTTGACTTCCCGAGCTGAAATTAAAAACAAAACTGCGGTGCTAGGTGTTGTAACAGGTCAGTTTGTATGTCTTCTGACAGCAGATGGAACATGTGAGTACTCCAATTATGAGACAAAAATAGAAAGATCCCTCAACACCTGAATTTTCTAGTGATTTCATCATATCAATCTGGTCAAGCTAACCATATTACTCAGTTATTAGTCATAAATAGGAAGTGATAAATGCTGCAGACAAGCTGGGTTGCAGAAAGAAGGAAAAAAAAAAATCAATGTTCTTTGATGCTGTACTAATGGATGTAGTCTCAGAAACCTAAGATGATGCAGCAAATGCACATATTTAATGTGAGACAAAGACCTGGAATGCAGAGATGCTAACCCAAGGCACTATTAAAACAACCTGCAACTGAGCCAGTTCCCACTACACCAAATTCAGCATTCTAAAGGGAAGTTTGAATAGCAGATACAACAGGCAAATGCCACAAGAACAATTCCTACCCTGCAGGTACCAAAGTGGTATCAACATGTGCTCATGGTACCTGGAAGAATATGACTGGTAATTCCCTGCTGTCTGAACACTCCCAGTATTTCCCCAGCATGGATTAGAGCGAAGAGCGTTTCAAATTGGGCATCTTTATCTACTGTCATCTTCCTAGAGAGGAAAGAAATCCTTAGCAATTTAAAATTTGTCCTTACCATAAGGCCGTCCCCAAAGGACAAGAACATTTCCTACCTTCATGTCCCCCCAGCTAACTTTTAAACAGGCCTCAAAACTCCATTTGTAGAAAGTAAAGCACAAGTGCTAAATAAGAACATTTAGCACATAAACAGAAATGCCTGATGTTTACAGACTGAATAGTTGAATAACACTCACTTTCCACCCAGGCATGAAACAGCTTTTTTTAATCACCCAGGATTTCCAGTCCAGCCAGTACTGGGTGAAACATTTCACAAGCTACTTGCACAAGTATATCTGAGTACCCATGCAAATCCTTAAGATCCAACTTACCACTGAACTGAGGAGCTCAAATTCTTGGTCAGGCAGAAAAGAGCGCCAGCCATCTTCAACAGTATCAAACATGGGCCGGTAGAAGAAGGGATACATGAGAGTGACAGAATCCAAGGTGGAAAGCGCCTGTGTGGGGGTGAGAAATAAACAGTGACTCAATTCATTCAAACTGCTATTTTATTCCAAAAAACCATCCAGCAAATAGTGTTCTCCTCTACTATTGGTGATGCAAACTTAAGCCATCCAAAAAGTATACAGCCATTAAGCTTGAAATATTAAGTTACCTGCAGGGTAGTTTAACATACATAAAAAAATCTCCTCTACTATTGGTGATGCAAACTTAAGCCACCCAAAAAGTATACAGCCATTAAGCTTGAAATAGTAAGTTACCTGCAGGGTAGTTTAACATACACAAAAACCAGTAGCACAAACAAAAGCAGATGCTAATAGACAATCTAAGCACAAGTGGGGATTTGCACACAGAGTATCATCATTTCTGCAGGCTATGCTGTGTAACAGCGTGCCGAAGGATGAGAAAGATGAACTTAAACTCCAGAAGTCACTTCATGTTGTTTGAGACACATGAAACTCAGTCTGATTTGGGTTTGCCTTCTCATGCTCCAGCACAACAAAGCTGAGCTTCATTTTCCCCGAACGCTATGGCAAGATGTTTGACCAAGAAAAGTAGGGTTTTTAAAAAAAAAAAAAACAAAAACAACAAAAAAACCCCAAACAACCAGACACAACACCACACAAACCCTACAAGCAACAAGTAGTATTTTAACAATGAAAGGAAATATTGCATGATTCATTTGTCTTCTGGAAGATCAATGCCAACCTTCCTAACTGGAAAAAAGCTGTTGAGGTCGGATCAAGATCTGAGAATATAGGTGTTATTTACCATTATGAGTTCTTACCTCAATAGAGCTAGCAATGTTCAAACATTCCTCCATCCCAGGTATATCCAGCTGAATAATTCGCAGATCTTTGCATTTTATAATGATGGTGCCCAATGAGCCCACAAACCTAGAGCAAGACATGAAGAAAGTGTCTGTTAAGAAGAGGATCTTCTAAGGTGTGATGAGGGATTATAGCTCTTCCCACAACGTATGCCTACAAGACAAAATTCCATTAGTAGTAATTTGTCTGCAATATCATATTTCCAAGAAAATAAACAGACAAAACCACCTCTTTATGTGGTATTTGCAAGTTATGGTCTGCTTTTTTTTTTTTTTTTAATTCCATCCTTGTGATACAGCAGTGAGTGGAAGCATAAGCATTACAAGATAAAGAGAAGGTTTTTCCTCCCAGCTTTTCTTTAAAACAAGGAAGAGAAAAGGCGTGTTCAGGTATTTTCCAATAGTACTGGAAGCTTCAGCTGGAAGTTCCCAGTTTCCTTAAAGTAATGCATTGAAACTTTGAGGATTACTAAGAACATCTGAGTTTAAATTTAATTTTCCAAAGAACATTTGAGTCTGGCTACGTTACACTCTTATCTTTAAGAAGAAAGTTTGGTTCCTGATACCCGCAGTGCCACGGAGCCATTTGCTCTGCAGACCTCAGAGAAGTTGTGTTCTCCTCTACTATTGGTGATGCAAACTTAAGCCATCCAAAAAGTATACAGCCATTAAGCTTGAAATATTAAGTTACCTGCAGGGTAGTTTAACATACATAAAAAAACAGTAGCACAAACAAAAGCAGATGCTAATAGACAATCTAAGCACAAGTGGGGATTTGCACACAGAGTATCATCATTTCTGCAGGCTATGCTGTGTAACAGCGTGCCGAAGGATGAGAAAGATGAACTTAAACTCCAGAAGTCACTTCATGTTGTTTGAGACACATGAAACTCAGTCTGATTTGGGTTTGCCTTCTCATGCTCCAGCACAACAAAGCTGAGCTTCATTTTCCCCGAACGCTATGGCAAGATGTTTGACCAAGAAAAGTAGGGTTTTTAAAAAAAAAAAAAAACAAAAACAACAAAAAAACCCCAAACAACCAGACACAACACCACACAAACCCTACAAGCAACAAGTAGTATTTTAACAATGAAAGGAAATATTGCATGATTCATTTGTCTTCTGGAAGATCAATGCCAACCTTCCTAACTGGAAAAAAAGCTGTTGAGGTCGGATCAAGATCTGAGAATATAGGTGTTATTTACCATTATGAGTTCTTACCTCAATAGAGCTAGCAATGTTCAAACATTCCTCCATCCCAGGTATATCCAGCTGAATAATTCGCAGATCTTTGCATTTTATAATGATGGTGCCCAATGAGCCCACAAACCTAGAGCAAGACATGAAGAAAGTGTCTGTTAAGAAGAGGATCTTCTAAGGTGTGATGAGGGATTATAGCTCTTCCCACAACGTATGCCTACAAGACAAAATTCCATTAGTAGTAATTTGTCTGCAATATCATATTTCCAAGAAAATAAACAGACAAAACCACCTCTTTATGTGGTATTTGCAAGTTATGGTCTGCTTTTTTTTTTTTTTTTTTAATTCCATCCTTGTGATACAGCAGTGAGTGGAAGCATAAGCATTACAAGATAAAGAGAAGGTTTTTCCTCCCAGCTTTTCTTTAAAACAAGGAAGAGAAAAGGCGTGTTCAGGTATTTTCCAATAGTACTGGAAGCTTCAGCTGGAAGTTCCCAGTTTCCTTAAAGTAATGCATTGAAACTTTGAGGATTACTAAGAACATCTGAGTTTAAATTTAATTTTCCAAAGAACATTTGAGTCTGGCTACGTTACACTCTTATCTTTAAGAAGAAAGTTTGGTTCCTGATACCCGCAGTGCCACGGAGCCATTTGCTCTGCAGACCTCAGAGAAGTTAAGGTCTTATCACGGCTGTTACAATGCAAGTCAACCCAGAAAAAGCTCTACATGACCAAACAGAGCTCACAGACGCCCTCTCCAGTCTTCCTTATGCACCCAAAAAACGATGCCTGAACAGAAACCAAGTGTTTTCTTTGCGTTAACTAGCCACTAGTTCACAGGAATGGCTTGGACTTAAGTTCACAAAGCAGTGAACTAAGGAAAAGCAGCTGAGTCTCCTCATGCACCACAGGAGCGCTTGCAGCAGCCAAGGGTGATGCAAGAAGTAGGAGGAGGCCAGACCCCAACATCCAAATTTTGGTCCCTCATGGCCTAACCCTCAGCTAGACCATGCACACAAAGGGGCAGAGCTGTACATGCTCCAAGGGGAGACCAGTTGCTAAGCTTTGGGTTGCTTCACCTGTGCCACAAAACACGCCTACCATTTATTTTGGTATTATTATTTACAGCTGAAAGGTCATTATCTATTTCTTCTGCGCAGACAAAGGTTAACACACAGAACAGATTATCATTTGGGTAGCGCTGAAGGAAGGACTACAGGCATTTTGACAGAAAAGTTCTGCAACTCCAGCAGAGCCAACCTGGGCATTGTTTGCCATTTCACAGGTCCCCAAGGGAATAACACAGCACAGCATCACCAGGGCTGTGTTTCCTCTCCACATTATCTTTAAGGAAGAAGACCACAGGAGATCACTAGGGACTGTTCCACTTCTCAAACAAGCCCTACAGGTCGTATTTAAGTTGCTTTAAAAGCTACAAAAGTTTAAGAAGCTGTTTGACGACCATCTGATCATTAGGGAAAACACTGCTTTGTACAAAAGACGGTAGTATCGTGAAAGTGGGAGATTTTATGAACCTGGCACAGCTGTTGTGCTCCAATAACCTGAAGTATGGCCAAACTGGACCTTTCTACAACTTTTATTGGTTTAAGAGTCTTGCTATTCCATTCTCTCCCACACTAAGAATATACTCTTACCCTGTTACATGGCAAAGGCTCACTGCAGTAACATTCATACAAAGCTACTCGCAGGGAGGGAGATGTCTACTCCAGAGATCTTCTAGAAACCAGGGCTGGCAATAAGGGCTGTGAGTATCTGCAGACATAGCTAACTCTGTTATAAATCACGTACAGAGCCAGCAACGCCCTGCTCCCTCACCACAACTTAATGTGTTCCTTGCTCATTTGGCATTAACTTAAATCTTAATTGCAACTAAGCTCAAAAAAAAAAAAAAGAAAGCAAAGCTTGTCCATAATTGTTTTCAAAATGGAGCTATGTCTGGTTTAGTACAAGCAGCAAGTAGAATGAGGCTAAACGACCCTGATGACTGAGCAGTACTAGATGGGAACAGATTTGCTGAGGTTTCCACCACTCTGTTCCTCTCCACCCTCAGGCCCAGATGCAGCATTTCTCAGAAACGCTCAGAGAAATCAGAAACACGGGAACAAACTTAACCAGCGCCCAGTACTTCACCTGTTCTCGGATTCTGAGGCAACCTGGTATTTTTAGTTGCTGCTACTTGGTCTTTCCAGTCTTGCTGGCAGAAAGGAAAACTGTTCTTCCAGATACCTTAAAAGGTGAGGAAATGCTTTGTCAGGTGTTGGGACAGGCTACCTAGTGGTGGAGTCCCCATCCCTGGGGGGATTTAAAAGCCAGGCAGACAAGGTGCTTAAGGACATGGTTTAGTGGTGGGATGGCAGGGTTAGGGTAACGGTTGGGCTTGATGATCTTAAAGGGCTTTTCCAACCTAAATGATTCTATGAAAACAGGGGATTGAATTTGTAATCAACAACAACAACAAAAAAAAATAAAGTACTGTGAACAAACTGAAAAAAGGACCAAGGTGAAGCAGCAGAAGGCAGTCACCGGGTGAGATGGGACTGCTGATCAATGAGGGAGGTGTGGTGGGGCAACAGTACACATAGAACAGACAGAAGCCATGGTGAGAAGATGAATCCCTGATGTCCCTGCAGGAGACGGGGATGGGGACAAAAAATGGAGTGCTGCAGCTACACCTCAGCTTCACACCGCTTCATTCCACAAGGAGCACGCTGTTAAAGTGTTACTGATCCCCGTAAGGAGTTGGGGGAGTAAGGGAATGAAAGTGTGGAGCAGCAGGAGGCTGATTGTGGCTGAGAAAGTCCAGAGTCCACTTTTGCTGTCAATTTTCCTGGGTAACCCAAGGTAAATCACTTCATCGGTGCCTCAGCTTCCATCTCTTTTGAACGGTGGAAGAGACGCATCCTTTATAAGGTGGTTCAAGAGCTACTGGTGACACCCACTGAACAATTAATAGGGAGTATTGCTGACAAAGGCGTTTTAAACAGAAAAATTCCAACTCTACATACAGCAAGGAAAATAATCTTAAGATGCAACAGTCAAATCTCAATTTCCAAACAGAATGAGAATCAACCAGCCCATGCCAATACTCTGCCCTGGGCTCTTGCTGGCTGCCCTTTCTCCTCTCTGGGTCTGGATTTGAGACAGCCCAGGCGTAAGCCAGTCTTGACAACTTTTCAACCCATAATGAGACACAAACCATTAGGTACAGGTAGGCAGGGACATGAGGAGGCCTACCTTTTTTCAATAGAATCAATGTTGGAGTGCAGCAGCCACAGCTCCTCAGCATTATCTTGACGCCGCGAAGAAAAAATGAGGTGATGGCCAGTCAGACAGAGAGTCCCCTCCACGGCCAGGTAGAAAGGGCGGTGCAGGACAACGTTGTCTGCTCGAGGGGTCTTGATCAGCTCTGCAAATTCCATGCCCGCCAGAGAAGGGAAGGGGCCTGGGGAGGCCTCTGCCACCACAACCGGCTGGGGAGACAAGGGGCAGCCTCAGCAACGCCAGCAGGGCCGGGGTGGAGAACCAGGGCCAACCTTGGGAGGGCCTACAACCGGCGGGCAGCCCCGTACCATGCCACCCGAGGCAGGCAGGGGCATCACCCAAGGGGCGA